TTAAGAAAAATTTACAAGTTGAAGTTAAACCGAGGTCATGTTTAACATTTGTTGAAATTTTAAGAAAAATTTACTAACTGAAGTTAAACCGGGGTCATGATTAAAGGAAGGAATGATATAGGTTCCATCACCTCAGGATGCCGAGGTAATAGAACCTAGGGGGCAGTTGTGGGGACATTATTTTTGAATGACAACACGTGGCTGAAGTGTCACCGAAGTGCCAGCCGAGGTGCCATGTGTCCTGTTCATGACGCCGAGATCATCTTGGCTAGGTCGAGGTTATCTGCGAAGATACCAGAATCCGGGATAAGCGGATAAGGGACAAGAGTCCTAGAATGGAGATGACTTCAGTTTGGGTAGAAATAAGACTCTTAGAGAGTTTGTCTCATTCCTACTGGGAGTCCATGATTAGCAGTAATCCTAAGTCCATTGAAGCTAGGCTTCTATTGGGATTAGGTTTATGTTGGCTATAAAAGAGAGGCACCCTCATGGGTCTAAGTATGCTTTTTATGCTCTGAATGGTGAGTTAAGCACTTTTGCTATCTTTGAGAGATAACTGATTTGATTGTCGGAGTGCCCCGAGTAGACGAACCACCGCCTGAATCTTTTCTTTTTGTAACAGGTCGTTCGGGCTTTATCTATTCTGCCAGTGTTCTCCAGCTGAGTACTTGATTGGCAGTGTGGTCGGAAATTGACACACAATATATATATATGTGTGTGTGTGTGTGTGTGTGTGTGTGTGTTTGGATAGGGTTAATTTACAGTGGTTTATTGGCAGTTTGAGATGGAAAAGATGTTGCTGGAGATGGGTCAGAGTCATCTGTTCGAGCATTGGCCTGAGCCTGGTACTGAAGATGATGAGAAGCGGGCTTTCTTCGATCAGGTTTGTGGTTGTTTGTTTATCTGAGTTGGCCAATTAGTTCTGCGTTGTGTTTGAAGAAGGAGATTTTGTAGTTCATTTTGTCAAACAATATCAATGTTGTTCTCTCTTCGTCTACGCACACACGAACACAATTGAGTTGGTTGGGACCGTAATGAGAGAGGGGAAAAAAAAAAGCAAGCTAGCAATTGAGATCATAATTTGCCTAGTATTCCAAAAGATTTTGGTTCAAATCCTGAATTCTAGGGGATTAATAATGTTGGAATTAAATTGATATTTGGCCAAAAATTCAGTAAAGGCTGGATCCAAATCTCTCTCATTATCTCTCTTTCTCTATATGTATGGTTTGATTAAGACTGTTTTTTTGTATTTGAAAGGAGTACAGGAAAAAAGAAAACTTTTTTTGGTATTTTAAAATTAATTTGGCTGAAAATTTGGACTTTTTTTTTTTTTTTTTATGTTAGGTAAAGCTTCACGACCACCATCACCACAAGCTCCACTACCATCACCCGCTCCGTTACCACCTAGAACCATACTCCACATCATGTTATAAGTGAAGAAGAAGAAGAATGAGGAAGATGGAGGAGAAAGAACAAAAGACGAATGTTTCGGAAATTTTGAAGTTAGTTTTTGGACAACTTTCGGTATACCGAAACTGCCCATTACACGAAGAAGTGAAAAAGCGAGGTAGTGTAGGACGAAGTATGAAGTGAGGTGAAGAGAATGACGAAAGAATGAAGTAGAACCGTCAAGAATCGAAAACGATATGAAGTCCGAAATATGGCTTGAAAAAAAGTTAGAAACGGGAAGAAAAGTCTAATTTTTTTTACCAACTTTCGAAACTTCGACGACATGCAAAAAGAGGAAGAACGAGACGTGCAAGTGGTGGTATGAAAATTAGGCCATGAGGTGAATCCAACGATGTAAAAATGAGGCAAAATGGAGTTATGACAAAGAAGATAGAATGACTCGAAGTGGTGGTGAGGAAAGAGGATGAGTTTGGGTAGGAGTAGGTGAGTTTGTATTTTATTTTTTATTTTTTTTTAAATTTGGGATTAAAATGTAATTTTTTTAACGTTCTGTTTCAAATGTGACAATAGGGGTAAAAATGATAAGATTTCAAAAAGTTTAGAAGTAAAATTGAAATTATTCAAAGACTGACGGCATAATTGAAAATCAAGGCAAAGTATAAAGTAAAAATAAAATTTTTTCTTTAATTCATAGAAATAATATTCTTTTATCTTATAAAACTACAAAAAAAAAACAATCAAATCAGAAACTGTTTCCATTCAAATTAATTAGCATGCCCTTTTTTCTAATACAATTGAGAAGATCTGCCCTCCTCTGTTTTGATTTATAAATGATGTGTTTTGATTTGTTAAATTAGAGATTTTGATTTACAGTCATGGGTATTAAAATTAAGAATTCTGAAATTAGGATATTTTTATTTATACTGATTTGTGTGAAAATTAGGAATTTTAATATGCTAAAATTAAAAAAAATAAATAAATATGATACGTACAGAACAAAATTACCCTTAAAAAAGGGAAGTAAAAAGAAAAAATGACCCCCAAGATACAGAAATTGTCTAGTTGATTAGGAAGATGACTTAGTCATGTGTCCAACCAATAAAATGTTATAATTTGTCTACAGTGTCATGGTTATGTATTCATTTAGCCCCTGTTTGGCATAAAGAATTTTGGGGAGGCTAAAAAGTCATTAAAACAAAATGTCATATTCAAATTATAATTATTTTATTTTTTCTCTTACAAAAGTCAAAAAAGTCAAAAAAGTCAAAAAAATCTCATCCCAAATGAAATTTTTTATCTCCAAACTAGAATAGTTAAAAAGTCAAAAAGTCAACTCACATCCCAAACGAAACCTTAGTCCATTGGTTGGCACACAATCAATAATTATTGATTGAGTTGATAATTAAATATTTTTTAATTACCAATCAATTATGTTCTTGACATAATCAAAAAGGGTCTAAAACGTGCGTTTGTATTCTCTAGAGTGATTTGGTGAAATGGATTGCTTAGGGTGTGACATAGGTGTCTCACTAAAGGAGCAAAAGGATGAGATCTTTCTTCTTTTCTTTTTTTTAAAAAATAGATATGTAGGTAGGCTACTCTAGGCCCCACTGCATCTTTGTTGGGGTTTAGGGCTGCAAATGAACCGAGCTGTTCATGAATAAGCAAGCTCAACTCGGCTCGTTAAAGGTTCAGTTCGGCGCGGTTTGTTTAGTAAACGAGTCGAGCTCGAACTCGAATATTAAGCTCGTTTAGTAAACAAGCCGAGTTCGAGCTCGAGCTCGCATGAACTTGGCTCGTTAAGCTCGACTCGTTTATCTTTATTTAACTTATATAATAAATATATTATTTATATATTAAATAATATATAAATACATTATTTGGTATATTGTTTTAAACGTTTTAAATTACAGTATACCAAAAGGGGAAGCACGCAGAGGAATAATCAGAGGAAGAAGAAGATGAATAATATGCACACTATTAACGAGCCGGGCCAAGCTCGAGCCTAGTTCCTTATCGAGCTGAACTCAAGCTTAATAAACGAGCCGAGCTCAAGCTCAGCAAAACTCGGCTAAGCTCGTTTTATTTGCAGCCCTATCGGGGCCTAAGCTTACGTGCTTCAGGTACTAAAGAGTATGTTTAATCCCAATAAGGGACTATGGAGACTCGAACCCAAGCTTTGAGCAAACGATTCGAAAGTTTTACCACTGAATCAACCCCCTGTTGGTGAAAGACTGAGATCATTCTTTCACCAAAATCATGTCGTTTGGGTGAGGGAAATTCAAAAAATAGATAATAAAAAAATTTATTTCATTTCAGTCAACACCACTGTGAGAGAGAGAGAGAGATGAGCAAGAAACCGACCGACGAAGGAGTTTGCCGCCTCGCCTCGTTAGCCCACCCCTCAATGCCGCCGCATATGAAGCCCTCCGATTAAGGTTTTGATAGATATGGTGATCCAATTAAGTATATTTATGTTAGGTGTATCTAAAAACTAAAAAAATTACTTCAAATATTAAATTAATTCAGTAAAAATAAAAAAATACGTAAAACAAATTATTTCCATTTTCACTGTGCATGCCATCAAAACTTAGTCTTAGATGTTCAACCTCCAGCTGAGACCAAATCAAGCTTAAAGGCTCAACTTGTCAAAGATTTGAGAAACTCATGCTCCGTTCAAGTCAACTTCTAAAGAAGTCAAGCGTGAAAAGATTGAATTTAAATTAATTTTCACATTACAAGAAAAATAAAAAAAAAAATGGTGAGCAAAATATAAAAATGAACGATTATTAATAAATTTCATCAATCAAATATATAAATTTACATAAGCACCAAACGTAGATAGAAAAATAATATTAATTTTTATATCCTTGTGTTCATAACTTTATTCAAACCAAATTTCACTTTACTCAAGTTTGAGTCAATTACTAAACAAATTTAAAAATTTAACTTGAGTTTATTCATTAACAAACAAATCAAGTTCAAATAAACTTTAAAAGATAAGTTAAATTGTTCATCAACTACTCAATTCATTCGGAACATTACATGCAAAACAATACTAAAAATGATTCTTTTTGAGCCACTTGTTTTGGTTCAAAATTAGTTTCATTGATCTCCACTTCACCTAGAATAATTGAATCCAATATCACTGGCCAATTGTGGGTTCTCTCCTCTCTATTTAGATTTCAATTAGAAGGGTAAAACCTAACTAACAAAAATATTTAAGCTCCGTTTGAATGACTAGATTTCAAAATAAAATTTTACGAATACATTGAAAATTAAACAATTATAAATGAGTTGAGAAATTAAAGAAAATGATAAATTAGAGATGTAGAACTCCAGCATAAATGCATGAAACATTTCAAATATATACTTTTACATTATTATTTTATGTTCTTCTTAACAAATCTCTCAAATTCAACCTTCAAATCCATACCAAATCATATCAGAAAACACTGACTATCAAAACCCCATATCGAAACCACTGGCTATGCTACAGTGAGTGAACGCCAAGATTGAAAATGAAAATATCCAAAATCCCAAAAAATTACTGTAGCTAAGTTTTGAGCTAGGAAGCTCACAACGGCCTATTCAGAATAATTATCCATGATTTTCATTGCTTATATAGTCAAAAAGAGGCCATATGACCAACTTTCATTTCAACTACAATAATAATTTGGCTAAAAATTGGAGATCAAAACCAACACCAATTGATATCAACTCTGAAATAGCCATTGATATCATTGCTCTTCAAAATTTAGATATACAACGATGAACAATCCAAACAATTGCTACGGTACAGATTATGTGAGTTGAATAATTCAATGACCAAGGTTTATTGTTTCTGTTTTGAGAGTTTCGAAGCTAACCTTCCTCTGACTGTTTTCAGATCTGGATTACGTTTTCTTGATTTTCTCTTGCGTGGATTTCTCCTTGTTCGTTTTCTTTCCAAGCGCTGTCGGCGGATCTCGGGATCAGCCCAGCCTTTTCCCCATTCTGAGAAACTGGAATAAGGCTTGTCAATTTTTGTCGGGAGCAGCATATCTGCTTCAGGATATACGTAGAAGGGTTCCTCTGTCTTGTATTGCAAAAATTTGCATCCCAGTTTTGTTGGCTCGGGGAATTTTATCTGAACACGGATCTGTAAAGCACAGTGAAGTTCGAATAATTAGACAAATAATGGTCAAGAATAAAGACATTCATGCAATGGCACATGAACTTCCAATTTAAGTTCGAGATAAAATGAGGCACTGTGAAACAGGAAAAGTCATTGGGACAATTGTTGTACTGGGGTGTGTGTTGCCCTTATTAGAAATAGGTGAAGGTGGTTTTCTTTTTGGAGGTTGGGCCGAAACAGGTTTAGGCAAGTTCACCGGATGGAGCTGTTGGATCAAAAGGCATAACATTCCAATGATAATGATGATTAGGAATACAAAATCCATTGTAAGGAACAACCTTGCACGAACTTAGCGAAACCTATCCCCAAATATAGCAGCTCATCCCCAACATTTGTTAAACATGCGGGGATGCAGAATGCCTTCACATTGTCTAACCTGGAAAGACTATCTACACTATACAAGTTTGATTAATGCAACCTTGGCCATCTGTTGCGATAGGCACTCTTGAACAGTGTTGGCTTTGAGGGACAGCCGATGAAGCAGCCACTTTGGGTCTCCGAAAATTGGTTGAAAAAGGGGCACCCAAAAACTGTCAACTACTATACTTGACAAAGCTTATATGGATACCCTAGCCAGGTTGTTATCCTGTTTAATCATTTGCTACTGCCTACCCAATGTTTCGATGCTTGTAGTTTACATCATTTTAGAACAATAAAAAGTGTTAGAACAGGAATAAATTATGCTTACTGAAGACTAAAGAAGACTAAACATTAGTCTTACACTAGACTTGGCTTCCAGAAAATGGATTTTATCATGGTGCAAAACTCAGCCAACTTACAGGATGGAGTAGCCGAACAGTCCATGTGTTATCAGTCTTATTGTGTCTCATTTGGAAAGAAATACACATGCAATTTATAAACATGATAGATATAACAGAATGATCAGTGACCTGAATATAACTAAAATTGCTAGCCAGAAAAACAGTGATAACAGTCAATGCCCGAGTTCATACCATGTCATCTCCCTCTCTGATAAGCCCTTTATCTGCTAAAATACGAGCAAGACCTCGCCACCATAGCGCATCACTTACTACAAATTGTTGAGACTGCAAATATCACATTCACATGAAAAATCATCAGCAAAAACATGAAGTAAAGAGAAGTTCTATGTGCTTAAAATATCACAACTGCTAGGATGGAAATGACATACGTTTGATATAATTTTTCCAACAAGAAAACACATTGGCCTCGTTTGGGAAGTGGCTATTTTAGTAGGCTATTTGGTTTTTTGGCTATTTTAGTAGGCTATTTTAGTTGTGTTTGGGAAGATGAGATGAATTTTTAGTTGAGTTATATTGAAAAGTGTGTTGAAATGATGTTTAAATTTAAAATGACATATTTGTCCCTAAAAATATATTTTTTTAAATTGATATCAAGGGGTAAAATCATAATTTACTTATTGATGGAACAAGTGCTGTAGCTGACAGTGTAGGCTGTGCCTACACTGCCGGCTGTGCAGCCTATATTTTTTTTTTTAAAAAAAGCTTCCAACAGTGTTGCTCTTGGGCTTTTTTCTCAAAATAGGCTATAATAGCCTCATTTCTGGCTTCCCAAACAGCGCCATTATGTGGATTCCATCATGATTAGCAGCAACACCATTGTCACTGTCACAGAACATAAATTCTAGTAGAGGATTCCGTGGGTCTCACTTGGTGTGGGTGCTATCCAGAAGTGGCTGCCTAGAGGTAAGCAAGAGAGCTATTTGAACACTGCTGGGAAGGCATGGCTAACGGGAGTGTACAGCGGCTGGGGTGGCCACTGTGGTGGCTGCTGACCTTGAGTTTTTGCAGCCTTGATAGCTGCCTTGGTGGTTAAGGAAGGAGGGGAAGAGTGATGAGTGTTTTTGGTGGTGCTATATATGTGTATGTATTCTACCAAAAGATTTCTACAATTCACGAGAAGCTACTGGTTGCCCAAAGTCATCAAAAGAGCTATGCCTACAACTGTTCAAAGTGGGTGACATGGTGTCCTTGAGGGTGTTGTCTTGGAAGGGAGTCACTTGGTTTGGTAAGAAGTGGAAGATGGCCTCATTACATCAGATCTTTCAAGATTCTTGACAGAGTTTGCGTACCTTGTGACTATTGCTGAGTCTTGTAATGCATAACGTCTACCATGTATTGATGCTGAGGAAGTATGTATAGCCCTTCCCAAGTTACCTCTGGAGTATGGGCTCAAAGTGAGTCATATTTGGGATTCAACTATTAAAAGATTTCAAAGATGTTTGGTGGGATGAAAAATATTTGTCTACTGACTTTCCTTAAAACACACAGTTGAGTTTACCTATAAACCTCTAGGGTTGAAAAGATCTTCAGGGAAATGGCTTTAGACATATGCTTGTGTGAGTAGGATAGAATTTGGAGAAGGGTGGCGGTGTTGAAATATGAAAGTATGAGGGATTTTTTTGATGAATATTTGTGTCATATGAATAGAGGATTTGGAAGGGTGACAACTTGACAAGTAGAACGATTTTCTAGTCATACTGAGTTTATTATTGGGAATAGTGAGAAGGTTAATTTGTGGATCTTCTTAATACTCTTTATGCTATGCCACATATAGGAGAGGAAGAAGATGTTTTACGATGGAGTTCATGGTCTTTTGATGGTACAGATATTTCGTTGCTTGGCTAAAAAAGTACTTTTGTGAGCTTTTGTACAGTTTGCGAGTTAGAAGTGAGTAACCCTTCTCTCAACCAATTCTGAGATTTACAGAGCTTACAATTGGAGGTGTATAGGGGCCTTTCAGATTTTTGTTTCTCCTTTGTACATGGGTGTCATTCCTTTTGCTATTCTTCTTTTTTTTTTTCTTTTTTTTTTTTTTTTTTTCTTTTTTTTTTTTTTTTTTTTTTTTTTTTTTTTAAATAAAACCCCCTCGTCTTTTTCCTTCTTTCTTTTGTTGGCCTCCCGCTCTTTCTTGGGCGGGGGCCCCTGCCCTCTGGGTCCCCCCTCCGGTTCATCGCCCCCTTTCGGGCCCCCTACCTCTTCCCTCCTCCGCCGTCCGCCTTGCTGGCGCTCCCTGCCCTCGCGCCCTGCCTCTCCCGTGGCCCCGGCCGGCCCCCCCCCCGCCGCCCCCGCTCCTGCCCCGTTCTTGCCCTGCCCCTCCGCCCTTCCCTGCCGTCCTTTTCCGGCCTTTTTCCTTGTGCGCCCCCTCCCACGTCGGCGCCCGCCTCCCCCTGCCCACGGCCCGCTCGCGTCTCGCACCTTTCGGGGCCCCGCTGCCCGGTCGCCCGGGCCCCGCCCTGACTTCCCTCGCGGCTCTCCGCCGCCGTCGCGCTCCGCCGGCTCCCGCTTTTCCTCTCTCCGTCTTTTCCTCTCTTCCGCTTTCCCTTTTCTCCCTTGCTCGTCCGCGGGTTTGCTTGGGGCCCTCCCCGTTCTCCGTGCCCCGTGGTGCCGGTTTTCTCTGTGGGCTGCGGTCCTCTCCTCTGTGGGCTCCGTCCCCTCGCCCTGTTTGGGCGCCGCGTGGCTCCGTGCCCGTTCCCTCTGCCCCTCTGTCTCTTCCCCCGCCCCGCGCCTCTCCCTCTTGTCCTCCCTCTCTCTCTTTCCACCCCCCCCTCCCCTCTCTTTTGGGCCGTTTTCTCTTTCCCCTTTTCCCCTCTTTTTGCTTGTTCTTTTTCCTTCATCCATCTTGCCTCTTTTTTGTTGAGTCCCCTGCTCCCCCCTTTGTCTTTCGTCCTTGCTGTCTCTCTCTTCCGCTTCCTGCCTCCCGCCTTTTTGCCCTCCTTCTGCTTTCCTGCCCCTCGCCCTCTCCTTTCGCTTCGCCCTCTGTTCTCTTGCCGCCTTTCCGCTTTCCCGTTGCTCGCTCCTCTCTCCCTTTCGCTTTCTCTTCCCCTTGTTTCTTTTCGTCGTCCCGTTGCCGTTTTCTCCCCGCCTGGCCCTCCCCTGGCTCCTGTGCACTGTCCTCTTGTCTCGCCTACGCTCCCGCCGGTTTCTTTCTGGGTGCGTCCCCCGCTCCTCCCCTGCCGTCACCCCGGGTTTTTGTCGCTCTTTTTGGCGCTGCCGTCTGTGCTTGCTTCCGGCCCCGTGGGCTGCTCTGGTCCTTTGGTGCCTGCCCCGCGGCCTCTCTTCTTAGGCCTGGCTGCGTCCCCTTGGTGGTGCTTCCTTCTTCCTTTTTCGCTCCCCGTTGTGTGGGTGCCCTCTCCCTTGCCTTTTTTCTCTTTGTGTTCCCCCCCGGTCCCTCCTCGCCACGTCCTCTTCCCCTTTCTCGCCCCTCGCGGGTTTCGCCCTGTGCCCGGTGCCCTTTCCCTTTGTTTTGCCCGTTCTCTTCTGGGTCCCCTCTGTTTTGGCCTCGTTTGGCTTGCGTTTGTGCCCCCGTGCTTATCTCTTCTCCTTTCCTCGCCTTCTGCCTTCTCCCTGTGCCTCCCTTGTTCCTCTGTGTGGTCGCCCTTCTGCGCTTACTGCCTTTTCCGCGGCCGCCGCCCTCCCTGGTTTGGTTCCTCCGCTGTCTTGTCTTTTCCCCTTCTCTGTCTCCCCCTGCCTCTTTTGTCCTTTTTTCCCTTTCCTTCCCTTTCTTTCTTCCTCCCTCGTTTCACTCTCCTCGTCCTTCCTTCGTCTCCCTTCCTCTCTTGCTCCCTTTGCCTCCCCCTGTCCTCGCCGTCCTTCTTGTTCTCCTTTTTTTCCCCTTCCTCCCTTCCTTCGTCCTGCCCTCCACCAGACAAAACACACACAAACCCACAAAACGAACAAAAAATCCTTCGCTTCTTCGTCTCCATTCGTCCTCCACTGGTCTCTTCGTCTCACTTCCTCTCTCCTCCTTCCTTTTCTCGTCCCACTTAGTCTTCCTCCTCACCCCTTGTTCTTCCTTCGCTCCCTTCCTTATCCCTGCCCCCGTCTCCCTCTTCCTTTTTCATCCTACTTCTCCACTCCTCTTGCTTTCCGTCCGTTCTCGCTCCCATTTGCCTTCGCCCTCCTCTCCCGGCTTCGTACCTTCACTGCCGCCGCACTTCGCCCTCCCCCCATGCTCCCTGGCTTTGTCCGTTGGCCTACTACCTCCCCACCTTCCTCCCTTCACCCGCTTTCCTCCCCCACGTTTCCCCTCTGCTTTTTCCTGTTCTTTGAAATGTTCCCCCCTTCGCGCACGTTTCTGCTTTCGCCACGCCCTCGCGCCCCTGCCCCTTTTTTGATGCCCCACCCTCCTTCCCCGTCCTTTCCCCACTGGTGTCCCCACTTTTACTTCCTTTAGCCCTTCCTTCCCGTTGGGAATCCCACTCCTTCACTCCCCCGGTGCCCCCTCTTCTGTTTTCTTCTGTTCAGCGACTGCTCGTTTTCTTGCTTACTTCCTGCCTAGTTTCCTGGTCTGTGGTGGCCCTTGGTCATTCCCCCTGCCCTCTTTCCTTTTCTCTGTTTTTCCTGCTTTCCCCCTCCGTCTTCGCGCTACCCCCCTACTTCGCTCCCTTCCCTTTACTCTTCACCTTCCTGTTCCTTTTCCTAATTCTGACCGCAACCCTCTCATCCTACTTGCTTTCACTTTCCGTGTCCCTTTCTCCCTGTACTTCCCCGCCCCTTTCCCTGTTTCACCTTTCCACCTCCCGTCCTCCGGCCCCCTTACCTGCTTCCCCCTCGTCCCGCCTGCCCTCCTCTCATTCGTCTCCTCCACTCTCCCTGGCACGCTCTTCGCTCTCCGCCTGCTCCCCTGCCTTCCGGTCCGCTGCCCCTTCCCTCCTCACCTCCACTCGTCCCGCTATCCCGCTCCTTCCCCGCTTTCCTGACCGGTTCCGTTCTGTCTTCCCTTTTCATCGTCGTCCACTCTTGCTCGCCCTCGTACTTCTCGTCCCTCCTGCTCTTGCCCCTTGCCGCGGCAATCTTTAACTCACTCTCCTTTCACGTTCCCTCCCCCTCGTTCCCTCCTCTTGGCCCCGCCTCCCCCTACGTCTCCGGCATTGCTCCCTCTCCTCCCATCTCCACTTCCTCCCTGCTTATTCTCCTCCTCCCCCTTTTCGTGCGCCGCTCCTGCCTCCCCTCCTCTCCGCCTCCCGCCTGCTTTTTGCCGTCCCCTCCACCTCCCTCCTTACTTACCTGCCCATTCGTCCATTTTTGCTCCGCTCTTAGATGCC